ATAAGAGAGAGACAGAGGAGGTTAGCTGGGCTTTCCCTGTTGCTCGCGGGCTGTGGACAAGGGCAGGTGCGCTCAAGGGTGAAGAGCCTTCCGGGATCCCATCATCAGCGAAGAAATCAAGCGGAGACACAATTGGGGAGCCAGATATGTTGCAAAGAATTGCCAAAGAATCTCTCCCCAATCTCGCTTTCCCTCTCATCAGCTCCAAGGCGAAAAGGGAAAGGAGGCTGGATTTTACTGATGGATGGATTGGCCGCTTCATGACAAAATGAGAGATCTATGCCCTTTGCGAAATATATAAAACAGTCCCACGGCCGTTAAAATAGCAACATCAGTAAATAAAACACAGAGCAAAACAACCCGGTGAAAAGAGTTTATAGAAATAGCTTTCCTCTACAGACACACTTTGAAGAATGGATCATGCCTGAAGCAGATCCAGGATAGGAAGCGCTGCGGAATATTGGTTCGATTCCTAGGAGAGGCTGGTCTTGAAAAGGAGAGCGTGGGACGCGAGGAAATAGAGGTCGTCTGTAGGCAACGCTAAGTGGGATAAAATGCCGTGCAGGATTTCTGCGGTCCTGTAGACTGGGGGGGGGGGGGAGAGAGAGAGCGGGCAAAGAAGCTGGACGGATTGCAGAGCTCAAATTCGCAAACGATGGGGGAGATTCGGGGTTTTAATTAGGCAGCCGAACTGTATTTATAAAATCATGCGTGGCATGAAGAAAGAGGACAGAGAAATGTTTTACTACCTCTCTAGAACTCGTAGTCATTCAATGCAGCGGAATGTTGGAAGAGTCAGGACAGAGAAAAGAAAGACCTTCACGGAACACATAGTTAAACTACGAACTCACTTCCACAGAAGGTAGTGGTGGCCTGGATGGCTTTAGAAGAGGTTTGGACCTTTAGAAGAGGTTTAGACATTCTTGGAGGAGACGGCTATTGATGACTATGCTCTGCGTCCATGGTGGAAGGCAGTACAGTGGTACCTCGGGTTAAGAACTTAATTCGTTCTGGAGGTCCGTCCTTAACCTGAAACTGTTCTTAACCTGAGGTACCACTTTAGCTAATGGGGCCTCCTGCTGCCGCCACGCTGCCACTGCCCGATTTTTGTTCTCATCCTGAAGCAAAGTTCTTAACCCGAGGTACTATTCCTGGGTTAGTGGAGTCTGTAACCTGAAGCCTCTGTAACCCGAGGTACCACTGTAATGCTTCTGAATACCACTTCCTGGTAACCGAAGGAGGGGAGAGTGCTGTTCTGCTCGGATTCTGCTTGCAAGTTTCCCACAGGTTGGGCTAGATGGGCCGTTGGTATGATCCAGCAGGCTCTTCACCTGGCACTGGTGAGCAGCATAATGTCCATCTAGGTGTAAGCAGATCTCCTAGGATCTGGGAGACCAGGGTTATTGGAATCCCCTCTCAGCCATGAAGCTCACTGGGCAACCCTGGGCCAGTCACTGCCTCTCAGCCTAACTTACCTCACAGATTCTACCCAGAACAAACTTAGCTGGTCTCTAAGGTGCTACTGGACAATTTTATTTATTTATTTCTACCTCACAAGGTTGTTGTGGAAAATAAATAAGGAGGGATGAAGAATGGACTCCATCTTGAGCTTCTTGGAACAAAGGTGGGATATAAACACGATAAATAAATAAGCCAGAGACTGTGCTGTACATGTGCGCTGCATGTGTGTGTTTTCATGCTCTGATGAGTGTGCAAGTGTGTGAATGATGAGTGAAGTAGAATGAAAGTGCCTGTGGGGTAAGTGTATATGTGTGCATAAGTTTGGCCTTCCCTACCCTGTTACATTATAGAGTAAGAAGGGTCTTGCTGAATCAGGTCAAAGATCCATCTGGTCCAGCATCCTCTTCTCACAATGCCCAGCCAGATGCTTGTGCACTGATGGACCTACATTTTGGGGGCCTTGTAGCTTGAACTGTTATGGGGACCCCTTCGCAACCAGCAACAAGGTCTGATTAACCGCTATCGTTGTCTTCAAGGGGGTTGTTCCACGGCAGATTGCCACATTTTCCCCGTGAGTTTGCGTTTTTTGTTATCCACCCAAGTACTTTCGTGAACTCATTGTTATTCCTCTCAGGTCTTGACCTCTGCAAAAAAAAGGGGAGATTACATTTGCCACAGCAGAAGAGTCAATTTAGCACAACACTTCACCTCTTTAACACCTGTGCTACTGAATCTCAAACTCTGGGATTCTTGAAATTCATACAGCAACAAAAAACTAAGCAACTTGAGTTGTGAGACTCAGATTGGGTCTACTAGACTTATGAGATAGATTCCAGGTGTATGTATTTTGTAACCTAAGTCTACCTTCTGGGATCCATCTGTGAACAGAATGCGTGTGAGTAAACTCTTTTATACTTTTATACAAGACTGTGTCGTGTCTAATCTTTTTATGAGGGAATAAAGGGGAATTATCAGGAAGCTTATTTTAGAGGCTTATACAAGCCTGGCAAAGACGTTATCCACTGTACAAGTTTAAAAAGGGGAATGTTACTCTGCTAAATAGTAGAACTTGTTAACACAAGTTGGGAAGGATATAATTAAACAATATATCCTCTCCTGCCTCCCTGAACGTTCCCACAGGAAGCCCATGAGTGAAACAGGGCTCTCCCCACCTATGATTCCCAATATCTAGGCAAACCTCTGCCTGTGGTGTTCTAGATCTGTATTTCCCTTCCTGTGGTCACAAAGCCCATGCAAGTGGATTATGGGCTTTAGAAGCACATCCAAAATAACCGCTGCTTTTAATCCTTAACTGGTGTGGTAATACCCCTTACAACTTTTTGTTTCGTTGACATATTATAATGCCATGTTGACACTTTTAACTGAACGTTGGAAAGGTTTGAGTCTCACATTTTAACACTTGCAAACCACTCCCTGGCAGGCAGATCAGAGGGCAATTGGCCACAAAGGGCTCATATAAGGCACTGCTTGTGTAACCATATGTTTTAAGAATACATTTTTTATAACTTATGAAGCAGAGTCCTGCAAAGAGAAGGCTGGCACTCTTACACTCCCATTAAAAACTGTGAATAACTTTGTAAGCAATATAAATATTTCAACAAATTCGACATTAACAGGGCCATTAAGCAAACTTCTGCTTGGATGCCTCAAGGAGTGGTTAGAAAACAGGCGAACTTGAAGTCGAAATGCACAAAACCAAAGGCTACTGAAGACCTAAGATCCGAAAGTCAGATGACAATCAATGGATTTGGAGCACTATTCTAGATGGAGAACGAATTCTAGGTGGGAAACGAATCTGTCACACCTGCAAGACATCACTTGATGTTGCAGTCAGACCTTATCGTCCGTGTGACTAGGACCGTCTGTGATAAGCCACCAAAAATTAAGCTAGCAAACGGTACACAAAGGAAGCGTGAGTCAGTACTGCGTCGAAGTTTTTTGAATACTTTTAAAGTGGATGTGTTTTAAAGCAAATCTCTTCGATTTGCTTTGCATTAGTGCCGCGCAATGTTTTCCTCTGCGTCAGTGACCCTGCGCTATTTAATTGCAAGATAGGCTGATTGAAGAAGGGTGTTAGCAAGATGTTGCCTATCCTCATCCACCTCTAATGTGCTTTGCTTTGAACTCCTCTGCCTGAAGAAGAAATCTGTGTAACGCTAAAGCTGACATCCACCCTGGTCCAGCCAAAGGCTCTGCCTTTGGGTTTTGTGTCTGCCTGTTTGTTTGTTTCAGTCCGCGGAACTAAATCAGCTACTGCCTGTGATGTCCTCCTGCCCTTCTTCGAGCAGCCTTGGTGCAGTGAGATCCGTGCGAGAAGCGAGGCCAGCCCAAGAACAGTAGCCGCTGCCGGTGTAGCTTATCTCCGGCGCTGTCTCAGGGCTGAAGAACCTAGTCTGTTTATGAATGGGTGTTTGGTTTGCTGGGCAGAGCGCCGACTAGCTGCATGGAAGCGCCAAGGCGGGCTGGTGTGGAATCTCGGAGTGGGGTCACGACCTGAAATCACAAACCAATTCAAAATGTTTATTTTAGTCTCTCGCAGAAAGGCAGCGAGACCGCAGCGGGCAACCAAAATAAAGAATAAATCACAAAAGGAACACAACGGGCCGACCAGAAGAAAAACAAACTGTGTTTGGTCACACCACAAATGGATACATTGGGTTCCTCCTCCTCTCCGGTCCTCCTCCGTCCTCCGCTTGCTTTTGGGATGGCGCAGAAGCTGGTGACGGCCATCACCACCAAAGGGCCCAAGCTTGTCTCTGCTGCTATTACTTATTCAAAACCTCGCCTAGCCACTTTTGGTACTATGCTAAAGTTGAATTGGCTCCCCCAACTCCTGCTGAAATTCCTAAGGCTACTGAGGGCATGAAGGGATTGCTGAAGAGCACGCAGTCTGGCCGCATCAAACAACAGCTCACCGTCAAGGAAGCTCTAAAGAACGGCTAACGAAATCATAGGCAAACGTGGCCTGGTTGGCTATAATGTTTGAAAGTTTTTGTTTTCTTAGTTCCTAACAGCGTCTTCATATTAAATTACAGCGCAGAGATGAAATTGTGGGGGTCCCTACAAATATCATTCAGATTGGGGCAGAATCAGACGATGGTGACATGAACGCTGACGAGGATCCCTAAAATAGTCCTTCTATTCCTCCTCCTGTTGGGGGGTAGGGGGGGCTATTCAAATAAATGCTACACATAAAAAAACCAAAATGATAAAAAACACAAATGGATACATTGGAAGAAATCCTCCTCAAAATGCACCCACTCGTTCCCCCCTTTTTTCTGAAGATGCCTTGCTTCCAAATCAATAGGACCATCTTGTTCTTAAACCTCTTTTGCCCAATCTTTCAGCAAGAGATGAGCGAGAGAGAGATCCCATATATGAGCAAGAATCCTAACTTTATTCTCAGAGAAACCACTGGGAATATTTATATTATTTATACTGGTTTATAATGGTTTCTTCCTAAATAGAAGTAGCAAAGCAGTCCTATAATTTCTACTCAGAAGGAAGCCCTATTATTATTATTATTATTCAGTCAGTAGAGCATGAGACTCTTAATCTCAGGGCCATGGGTTTGAGCCCCACAATAAGCAAAAGATTCCTGCATTGTAGCAGGTTGGACTAGAATACCCTTGTGCTGCCTTCCAACTCTATGATTCTTTGACATTTATTTAATATATTTACATCCAGCCTTCCTCCCAAGTCGGGATTCAAGGGTTCCCTGGTAAGTGTGCAGAATGGCAGCTGTCGTGTGCACAGGATCTTAAAATTGCGCAAGGTGTCACACTTCCTCACGTAAACGTCTGAGGGCTGCCTTCCTTCTCATGCAAAATACTTAAAAGGAAGTCTCTGAACTTCCATGGCCTGTCTAATGTGGAATCAGCTCATTTTATTTCCATGGGGAGTTTTCTTTCTTTCGTAAAGTTCACTGAATTGGGTGGGATTTACTGCTGGGTAAAAAGAGAGAGAGAGGTTTGCTGGGAACACTTCCCATTTACAAACTTATCCTTTTTGGCTACACTGCAAGGGCTGCACATCCCTTACTTGGTGTGTTGCCTTTATGGGTGAGGGGTTGGGGGTGGGAAGATTCTGAGTGCTGCCTGGGAAAAGAAGAGAGCTCCAGAAGGGTGGTGATGTCATTTGGCCTCACCTTTTGGTGGGAGCTTAATTTAGGAATAGATAGCAACAGAAGTGAGGGTGCTCTACATAAATACATGCTTGTATACTTGGTGGGTAGAGCTGGTTGTGTCTGTTGTATTTGTGGGAATGTTCAGGGAGGCAGGAGAGGATATATTGTTTGTTTATAACTTTCCCAACTTGTGATAACAAGTTCTATAATTTTGCAGAGTAACATTCCCCTCTTTTAAAATTGCAAAGCAGATAACGTCATTGCCAGGCTTGCATAAGCCTCTAAAATAAGTTTCCTGGTAATTCCCCTTTATTCCCTCTTAAAAGAATAGACACAACAAAGTCTTGTATAAAAGTATATAAAATAGTTTACTCACATTCTGTTCACAGAAGGATCCCAGAAGGCAGACTTAGGTTACAAAATATATAGATGTGGAATCTATCCCATAAGCAGGTACAGTGGTACCTCTGGATGCGAACAGGATCCGTTCCGGAGCCCCGTTCGCACCCTGAGTAGAACATAACATGCGACTGCACGGGTCGCGTTTTGCCGCTTCTGCGCATGCGCGTGACGTCATTTTGAGCGTCTGTGCATGCGCGAGCAGCGAAACCCAGAAGTAACGTGCTCCATTACTTCTGGGTCGCCAGGGAGCGTAACTTGAAAACGCTCAACCTGAAGCATATTTAACCTGAGGTATGGCTGTAGTTCCTTTGTCCTCTCTTGGCTGAGAGCATCTCAGGCTAAGGAGATGTTGCTTCTTCAAGGAATAAGTCAGAGAGAGAGATGGCTGCCTCCCCTGTGCTATTTTGTTATCTGCACTGGTGAGGTCACGCCCAACTCTGGTTACATGTAGAGGATGTCTGTTCGAGCCCAGGAGGAAACAGGAAGTTCTGACTGGCTAGTCCAGACACCCCCTTTTATGTCCACTCTAGGAATGTTTTATTTGACTGCTCTGTGTTTCACACCCCACAGTATTTGGATCTGCTAGTAGTTATTATAGTGATTATACAAGGTGTTACCTGAAAGTTTGGTGAATGGTCACAGAAACCGGACAGTGAGAAATATTCGAACTTACATACCTTACAGACCTTCAAAGTAGGCCCCCTCTGATACAATGCACTGTTGACAACGTTGGTAGAACTGTTGGAAACTTCTGGAAAAGTCCTCTTTTTGGACTGCTTTCAGTTCCCTCATCACAGCAGCTTGGACATGTAAAATGTTAGAAAATCTGTGACCTTTCAGTAAAGATTTCAGTTTTGGAAAAAGAAAGAAATCCAGTGGGGTCAGATTGGGAGAATATGGAGGGTGGGACAACTCAGTAACCTCAGTAACGATTTCACGCAGAATATGCAATTCTTCTGCCATCATTCAGACGGTCAAATGCCGATCAACATTTGCTCATTGACGGTCTGCCAGACCAAGGGCTATCTTTGATGGTTTGCCGCCCTTCACGGAAACGCTTAAACCACACATGACTTTCGAGTTACAACTTCATCTCCGTACGCAATTGTGAGCATTTCATGGGTTTTTGATGCCGATTGTATGTTCAAATATTTATCACTGTCCAATTTCTGTGACCATTCACCGAACTTTCCAGTCACACCTTGTATAATAGTATATTATTATTATCATTTTTGTTTCATGTTTAAGAGGATATGTGCATCTCTTTTAAAAATTGTTCTCTTTTAAAATTTGATTTTTACTTGTGATGTTTATTTGAGGTGTAGTGGTTGGGGTTTGGGCTAGGACGAAGCAGAACAGGGTTCAAGTCCCCACTCAACCATGAAGTTCAGCTCTTGGGTCAGCCTAATCTACTTCACAGGATTAAGTAAAGGTAAAGGGACCCCTGACCATTAGGTCCAGTCGTGACCGACTCTGGGGTTGTGGCACTCATCTCACTTTATTGGCTGAGGGAGCCGGTGTACAGCTTCCGGGTCATGTGGCCAGCATGACTAAGCCGCTTCTGGAGAACCAGAGCAGCACATGGAAACGCCATTTACCTTCCCGCCGGAGTGGTACCTATTTATCTACTTGCACTTTGACGTGCTTTCAAATTGCTAGGTTGGCAGGAGCAGGGACCTAGCAATGGAAGCTCACCCCGTTGCGGGGATTCGAACCGCCAACCTTCTGATCGGCAAGTCCTAGGCTCTGTGGTTTAACCCACAGGCAAATACAGAGCCACGCACACCACCTCATGCTCCTTGGAGGAAAAGGTGAGATGCAATAATAAATAATGTATTTTTAGGACTTTGTAACCCACTTAAGAGATTTTTTTTTTTAATGTGACGTGGCAGACAAAAAAGTTAACTAAAGATCCCCAGGACTGACTTGCACATCCACTGACTTTGAAGCTCCATTGATTCCATTTGGATTGTTTCCAAGTGAGATCCTGGTGTTCTTCAGCTAGTGCACATTCTAAGCACAATTTGGAAATTGGGCTCTATTGAGATCAGCAGACTGGCTTCCAAGACCATGTGGGATTCGGGTTGTTAATGGGCTTTGACCCAATAACTCTCCCCTTAAGTAAAATGGGGACTAAGCATTTCTGATTAACAGCCAGATGCACTGACCCATTGCACCACAACTAATCAGTTACTTTTTTAATCCAGCAAATTAACATCTAATTTCACATAGTATTAGAATAAACATTTTTTTTTTAATGTGTGCTGAAGAAAAGCAACAAAATTTTGATGTTGCCTCTTGCAATTAGAAACGTAAGAAAGTAGAAGCCAGAAATTACAACAGTGGGTCATTTGGATCCCCTCCAATCTACTTGGTGGGTTGGTTATTTTACTGTTCAATTTATCATGGGTATCACATTATCACTCAGTCCCAAGTAATACTTTGACTGGCGTGGAACTGCACGTTCTTCTCGCATTCACTTTTAAGCACAGTATCCTCCCTTGGGTTTGTTTTGGAGTGACGTCATGTGCTTTGGAGCAGCAAAGTTTTTCTGTATACATTGTAATGCTTCATCACAAGAGGAAAATAGATGCTTGGCATTCCACTACTGAGAAGAAAGCCTCATGAATCGTTATGGAAACTACATTTTAAAAAACTGAGTTTAATCCTACCGTATGAGAAAATAAAATATTTAGGTTACTTCTGGTAGGGAAACTACTAGTAGGGCAGTAGTGCTACAATAACAGTACTTTGTTGGGAGAACTATATGAATTTTCTGCTGGAGAGAAAGCGTGAAATCTTGGCCCCATCCAAGTCAATCACAAATTCCCTTTGACCTCAAGAGGGGTCACAATTTCACCCCCCTCTGCCCCTTCTGTCTTTAAAAGGACAGAGCATATTTTTAGAGGATTAACTGTGTAATCTACACGGCTGCTGGACTTTCTGCTTCTTGAGCTGATTCCATCAGCTTGGCTCCCATTTGTGATTTTTAAATCCCAGTAGAAGACAATCACCTCTCAGTTTACTTCAGAAAGGGAGTCCCTAGCTCAGGAGTCTTTTGTTTGGTGAAAGCAAGCATTCTGTTTGAGTTTCAGGAATTCTGTTCCTTCTGTCAGAAGATCATCTTAATACCTCTACATTTTCAGACCCACAGACTATTTACCAGATCTAGATAGAAGCAATATTGTACTATCAACCATCATCTCGTCTATGATCTCCATTGTAGAGCACTGGACTATGGTCATCAACATTAGAGGGCAGCGCACAGGTGTAATAAATGTGATACAATCCATCTACTATGTTAAGCATTGATGTGGCTGGCAGGCTGGCAAGACAACAGATGGACTGCCTGATTTACACACTGGTTTCCAATAGTGTTGTCACACAATTTTTAAAACATAAAAAATTAAAATACTAATCATATGAGTTTTAAAGATACGTTTAAGATACCTGTAAATGCCTTCTCTAAAGACCTATGCTAAAGTTTTGTGTTAGTTTTGTGCTGCCATCCACAAGTGTGCATTGACATATCCAGTTGGAGTTTGCAGTTAATACCTCCCAAAATGGTCAGATCTTCTCCAAACCTGTGCCAGAGTTTGGGGTGCATTTTGTGCTGTTCAGGGTTAAACCACAAAACATGAGCATTTTGGGGGTGGGTGGGTCCAAATTTGGAGTTTCATAGTAAATGGACCTGGGTTTATTTGTTCATGGCATACTTTTTGCATAATGGCAAACCCAATAGTTCTGAATCAAGGAGAATACTTACTGTACTTTGTAAATGATGCGCGCCTGTGTGGAAGAGGAATTCCTATCTTAGAAAAAAAAGACAATGCTTCTTTTAAATATGGTGCTTGCAATCTTCTTTTTGTATCCCCAATGTGTGTGTGTCTGTCTACTGCCTAATTAATCAAGGACACCTTTAGGGTGTTGTTGTTCTTGCTTATTGATAGCATAATCCTATGCATATCTACTCAGAAGTAAGCCCCACTGAGGATGTGTTTCTTGGTAGATGTCTATGGGATTGCACTATAACATTTTAAAAAGTTGCTGTTCCAAATACACTTA